CTGATCTTTCCATTCTTCGTTCTAACTAAGACTATTGGTTATGCGAAAGGTGATTTGGATGGTCGTATAACTCCGGAAGACAAAAGTTGTTATAGATGTGAGCTTCATAACTCATCACATAGATTGGTGGATTCTCTAGGCTCTGTTGAAGGAGTTTGGTTTATTCAAGGTCGATCCTATACAATTGTCCAATTATCTGTTCACTTAATAAGAAATTATTTATGGTCATCAATAATTCTTAACGTTTCTGTTGTTGCAGTTTATCAAGGATGTTGTCTTGATCAGTGTTCAATTCTGTGACTATCTTCCTTCTCTTCTTTTCTAATTCTTCCTCAACGCTCTCAATAACTTCATCCGCAATTGTTGCGGGCTGTAACTCACAAAGTGTTGATTTTGGTGGAATTGTTACTGTATTAGTTGTTAAATTAGACAAACTTACTGTGACTTCTCTTTAGTTTAAATAATTGTAGTTGATGGTACTTGGTTCTACATCAATGAAATCTGGTAAGTCTGTATCACTTGCTTCTTGCACTTTTCACTATTCCTAATCGGTTCTTCTTCTGTCTAAGTGTCCTATCCCTTATTGTCATTGTCCTGAAACATGCGTTCCAAGGAAACATAAGTTTTGCTATTTGTAAATATCTCTGACCATATTTCTTTTCACAGTCTTCTCGCAATTCAGTAAGAATGTTGGTACCAATAATAGCAGGTGTTGTAGCTGGGAAATTGGCGTCTGGTGAGATTAAAAATAGAGCTGGTTGTTTCCTATTATCTGGGATTCCTTCTGTTTCGATTTCTGTTTCAATAAATCCTTCATATGGAAAGATGTTCCCACTGGCACATTCTATCTATAAAATTTCTGATACTAGTCTTATTTCAATTTCCTTCAAAGTGTCTTCATAAAATGTTTTTGATATAACACTGACTAAGCTGCCTGTGTCTAAAAGTGTATTGACTGTTCATAGATTCCTCTTCCTCTACCTCTATATCATCTTGTGCCATATCCTCTATCCTTTCCAAATGGTCTGGTAAAATGTTGGTGTTGACATGGGTATGTTGGATTATTCTGATTTAGTTCTAGTTCCTCTATTTTCTGCTAAAGTTGTCTAACAGTGTCTTCAAGTCGGTTTAAATCACTCTTCTCATCCACCTTCTGAGCTACATGGCAAGTCTTTGAATTTGGTATCTGGCAACTTCAATTCAGCTTCTAATTTTCTTAGTTCCATTTTAAATCTGTCATAATCGGGGAAAGTGTCGAATTTATACTGCGCAATATGTTTCAATTCCAATCTCAATCCTTGGTACAGCATTTGTTTCAAAATATTTTCATTCTTGACAATAGCTTTTAATTCCACTGCCTGAGCGTAAAGATCTTCTTATTTCACAGCAAATGTACTGACTGAATCATTTCCTTGTGTACACGAATAAAACTTCCTGCTGTTCAGTTTGGTAATGACATCTCTAACTGTAACGTCTGTACCAAGTATCCTTGCAATATCACTGGCAGTACCTTTAATGGCCCTTCTAATCCCAAGATAAAGATTCAACCTCAAACTTGAATGCATTCCATGATGCTTCACCTTTAATTCCATCTCCTGAAAATATGGATCTTTCTTTGTTGTTATAGTATGTCCTACTGCTGTAGCTCAGCTCCTTTCCGAAAATCGGATGAGATGGCTTTTTGTCAGCTTCTTTTTCTTCTTGTCTCTTATTAAATGTCTTCAAAAATTTACTTAATTCCTCTGGTCCTGGAGATAATTTTAATTCTCGAAGTGCTTTTATCCAAACAAGTTCCTCCTCACCTAATCCTTCATGTTCCTCACCTCCTTCAGCCATTGATTCCTTTCCCTTCTACTTATCCATGTTTATCGCCACAAAAGTTGAGTTGAATGGTTAACGCGTCGGAGATTGCTTACCGCGTGGGTTCAAACCCTGTCAGGGGCAAGCCGTTGTTTCCTTGAGCAAGAAACTTTACATTCATTGCATAGTACTGGTTGGTTCCAGGAACCGATTCGTGAGTGTTTCAATAAGCTTATAGCTTCCAACACAATCGAACTAAAATATATTTGTATAAACCAAAAGTTGAGTTCACACAAAAAGTCTTTAAGTCACAATATATTATCAAAGGAATCAAATGTCACAGTAGTATTCAAGTTTCAAAATATAAGTAAAATTTCTTAAAATATTTCACAAGTGTCCAAAGATCACTTTCAAATATTCACAAATGTCTTAAATCTCATGTAGAAATAATCCATCAAATGATAATGGCACAATGTTAATGTTCACTGACTATTAAAATATGTTAATGTGTCTACACAGGTTTCACTGTTTCACAAATCCAGTAAAATATTTCAATTAAATCACGGTATAATTTATATATGTGTATAATTTCACATATAATCACACGCAACGTGCAAAATATATCTGTAATCCTATAGATTTACTATGTTTCCAGTGAATTTAATCAATGTCATGGTCGCCTCACTATTTTGTCAATACACAAAGGCACGAAAGCAATATATCATACTAGTCCACATCAAACTGCTATAAAGACCAATGTTTATATCAACAAAAACAATAAAGACAACAAACAAGTGTCCAAATTTTGTTGTATTCAAGTTCCGAAATCGAAAGGTCATTTCAACTGTACTTACTTACTAACTATGCTTCAAGCGGAAAAATTCAAAGTCGAAATCACAATTTTCTCAAAAAAATGTACGAAAAAGAAAGTCAAAATCATTAACACTAAGTCAAAATCATTAAATATTTATCAAAATCAAAATTTAATTCTAAAAAGTACTATGAATGCAATCTTATAATTCTTTACTTATATGTAAAAATGAAACTAGTTGCTGATAAGCCACTGGTTGGGCAGAACTAACTCACAGCATTACAAGTATTAAATGAAAATATAAATACTTAAACAAATAGACATTTAAAAAATAAAGTTTAAATATCCTAAAACCAAAAATAATTCATTGAACAGCTATAATCTCAATAAATGATTGTCAAGTTTAAATTTTTTTAACTAATTTATTTATTTATTACTTATACAGTGTATATCTACTATTAAATTAATTTAAATTTAATATCTATTTTATTTATTTAATTCTAAGTAATAATTAAAAGTTTTATAATCTCGATGCAAAAGTTTTATGTTCAGTTACGGTTAAATTGAAGAAATACTAATACACAATACTAGTATGTTACTAATATCGCCGTGCCGTGAAGTACCGAGTATCAAATATCTAGGAGAACAGAAAATGTCAATAAAGTCATTTTCATTTCTTGCAGATTCCAAAATTTGTAACTTTGAACTTTAAATTAAATTATTTTAAATATTTATGTTAAACGTATTAAGCTTGCTAAAATTTATTATCTGCCAGAACAGAAAATGTCATTTAAGTCATTTCTATCAGACACTTATATTTGTACTTCAAAACATTTAATTTCAAATAATTTTATAATTGATACAACATCTTAAATTAAATGCACTTATGCTTTACAGTATGTTTATTTTGGTATAAATGTGCTTATCTTATATCATTATTACCTACAGATACTCCTAAAGTCTTAATTAATACCAGACTTTATTTAAATTGCAATTCTCAATACCTGGCAACAAACCGGAACCATGTGCTTTTGTGCTTTTGTAGTCAGGGTCAACTGTACATGTCTATGTCATTCCAATGTGTTATCCAATCAAAAGAGTCAACACAGACACACCTACAAAATAGACCAATGAAAAGGTGATCTTAATTTGCATATACCAGACAAGGGGATTTCCAAATATAGAAAGGAATATGTAGTAAACAATATCAGGTCACCGAGTACACAAAAAGGAAAATAGGGACTGTTTACATAGACAATGGATGCCAACTGCTGGAAATGATATGTATTACCTGATAATTGTACAAGAAGAAATCAAAGTTTTAAACATAATTTAATACTGGGAAAATTCAGATAGTAGCTTATGTATAATTAGTATGAGATATAGTTGCTCAAGTTAAGGTAAAGACATTTAGTGAAGTATATGACCTAAACCGGGATTTGCAAGGATCTAGTATTAATTATGCATGCATAGTGATTTCATCTCAGTCAATTTACAATGGCACACTAAAAAGGTCAAATCTGCAGGTAAGTAAACAAAATTAACTTAACTAAACAATTACATAAAAAGATAAATAGCCAAAAGGATAAAAAATAAATAAAATTGTTATTTAAGTAGATCTAGTCAAAAATAAATATAGGTGCAGAATTGAAACCTTTCACAAAATATTAGATAATCACAATTACATATGTACAAAATAGGCTGCTTGGCCACTTACTGTCCATAAATTACATTTCTCAAAACACAAAGTCCATCCTAACTTTCGAATTTATTTTTTTTTCTGGAGGATAGCTGAAATATTATTGGCGGTATCAACATCACGATTTGAGAAATTTCAGTAAGAAATGAAAAAGAAATGTTTCTAAGATCCATAGTTATCTTTTGTATAACTTTGGAGGCTGCATTGCCCTTATACTGTTATACAAGTAATTGTTGTTGTAATTGTTTATATTTCATTTTTACCAAGAGCATGTATGTTTTACAAATAGCTTTGCCAAATAAACCACAATTGTTATAAGATTGTTCATTCTTGGTCTGATTGGATTCAATGAATTTTATCATTTGGTAATTATATTGCTCGAGAAGCTTTAATAAAGTCATTCTTTTGTATCATATGCGGGGTATCAATTCAACAGATTAGCTTGTTACCAAAATGAATCAACACATGCATATTCCACATGAATGCAAACTAAAACAGATAAAATAGCTACCCACTGGCGGATACTTTCTGATGAATCACCTGTCTGGTAAAAGCAGCAGATTAATATCACGGCGGTCAATTTTCAGACCTGACGTAATATATAATATTACAACAGACCATTTCAATAGTTATAACTGAGCTATAATCTACAATCTATAAAAATATCATACAAATGATCACTCTTTTCAGTGTTTGTAACCTTGGTACAGAGCTACGTTTCAGCAATCAAACACGGTGCCGCTCCAGATGTTGATGATGCATTTGAAAGAGTAGCAAATATTGAAAATGCCATATTTGAAAAAGAGGCTTTAGAGATGTTTCAGTTATCAGTCCCTACTGATTATTTACGGCGCATTTATATAAACGCCCAACAAGCAGCGCTGGACTATTTTCGAAGGAATGCTGTCCATGATACAAATGGCAAATATGAAAAACAAGCTCAGGTAAGAGATCAGCGATATTCAGACGCATATTTAAATTCATTATCGAGTTGAAAATATTTATTTCAGATTTTTAGAACGTATTTTAAACTATTTAAAAATTGTTCTGTGATTTTAAGATAAATAAAACATCTGTCTCCATTAATATAACGTAAACCAAACTATCCATAACAAGATAGAGATTGTCTATTATGTTGATTGATCAATAATTGATGATTGGAAAATATTTGTAATAAAGACTAAAATTTAGAAAAAAATAAGTTACATTAACTAGTATGACTTTTATATAGCAATGTTTTAAGTCCGAAGGATATCATAATGCAATAAGTAATTTAAGGAATAGAGGGGCACTTAACGTGTTGTTTTCGAAACATGGATTGGCTAGTGATCTTGACAACGGTACCATGACTGCTTAATTATTTATCTTGTATTAAACGTGATTTGTTAATGGTTTTTCATAAATCAATTTCGGTGAAACTATAATAATAACAACTAAGAAATCCACACTTCTTCAGTTTGAACCAAATTTTTAAACAAGAATATCATTTTTAATTTTGTGTGCGTGTGTGTTATTGTTGTTGTTGTTGTTGTTGTTTTAAGTATGATCATCTGAATGACCTTATTGTATAGTTTCTTTTTGGTAGCTTTGGGAAAAGGAATATGCACACATTGTATAAATATGTAGAATGCTTTCAATGTCCCGAACTTTCCACTGAATCATTCTTATTTAAAGCATGCTAATTGTACCGTTGTTCTTTCAGCCAGTCGGCTTCATGCATATACATGTAATTTATTTCTTTTCTTTTTTCTTAACTTAATCTTATCACTCAGCTATTAAATTCTGCAACCTCCAAAGAAATAACTTAATGTACAGTAAAAAGAAATAAACGTATTTATACACTTTATTTTATCATATGTTATTTGTTATTTCCAGATGAAAATGGATAAAGTTTGGAATATAAGCATTGGAAAAGGTACATAGTCTACATATCAACATCAATATTATTAAGATTAAATGTAACAATAATTCTTATTTTACATCATTCAAATAATTACTTAATATCCATGTAAGCTTGTTCATAAAGTAAATTCCTTTTATATCATAATTAAAAGTGTATCTTGCGTAAAGAGTTTTACAAATTTTAAATATGATATCAACATACCTTAAGGACTGTAACATCGTAGACAATGTCGACCGATCAGATTTTATGTTCTGTTGAATTCGTATATTTCCAAGATATTATTTATATAATTTTCATCATTAAAATATAATAACTTTAGTTTAATTTCATCCGCAGAGAAGCAAAGGCGAAGAAAAGGAAGTATGGATGAATTATTAATGGAACTCCAAAAGGCGCAAATGGAAGCGCTAGATACACAAAGAAAGGATTTACAGAAGGATCTTCTTAGGCGTCTAGAAATTGAAAGAAAGAAATATGAAGTGTTGTTGGAAGAAAAGTTAAATCTTAAAAAGAAAGAAGCACAAAGAGAAAATGAAAGATATAGAAGTGAGAAGGAGGAAAGAAAGAAACAACTAGAAACAGAAAAGGCAAGACGAGATGCCGAAATCTATAGGGAACAAGAACAAGAAAGGCAAGGTCAGTAGAAACTTACAATGATATATGATGCACTTTGGAAATGTCAATTATAAACGACTTGCATGGTAGTGGATAATTTGTTTAGAAGAGACCGATTTTGTCATTTTCATTATTTATTTCTTTGCGTAATTATTCACTTATTTAATGTCGATATTGATATTGATTAATTAACTAATTACCGCATGAGCATTTTGTGAAAAATGGCGGTTTTCATTGAATAGTCTCCCGTTACAAGTTCAAAATGCTATAAAACTATAAAAACTGCTTCAATACTATCAAAAACTTGGCACAAATGTTGACTGAACCTTTGCTTTTGTAATACCGTGCCCAATCCTAAATTTCCTGTTACTACGGCAACTAGGGGACATCTCAAATTGCCAAAAATCACTATTTTGCGTTGATATTTTCCATCAAATTAGATTTCAAGGTGCTGCAACTTCTCAATAGATTGATCTAGAGTCAAAGGCTTTTCAGCGTTGGTTACATGTTACCTTTTGATCGACCTGGTGTCATTTTTAGCCTCTCACAAGTCCAAAATTTTCTTGGCAATGTGGGGGCTGCCACCCCCTTCAAACCCCCAAATAAAAGGGGGAACACTTCCCTTCTGGCAAACCCCTGAGGTATGTTTTAGATAGGGGCGACACGGTCACTTTTTTAAACAACATTGCTCAAACAAAAACAAGTGTTGGGGCCTAAATAATGCATTTTTAACCATTTGAGACAACTAAAAGGTGTTAAAATGCGTATATATCGAGTAATGGGTTAAGTAAGTACACGAAAAATATAATAAAATACTAGGATGGTTTAAGATACAAACATTTTTACAGGTTGTCCAGATAAGAAAATTTATCACCTTTGAATTATGCAAAACTATTATAAACTTTTCTTAATAATCATGGTCAACTCAAGAAACTTTTCATTTTGAAAAAGATAATTATTAATTTCATCATTTTCAGGTTTGTTATAGCAAAATATATGGAATTCCTTAACAATTATGAATAATAAACAAAAAACGTTCAAGGTCATTTTCTACTCATTCACCAATGATAAAAGTTATCATGTACCGGTAGTTTGATAGGAAAGTAGCATTTCATCATGAGATTACCTAACAGAAACTTTTTTAATAAAAATAAGACCTTTTATGATAATTAATGATTGTATCTTGAGCCAAAGAATGTTTCGAACAAATTTAAGGATCGAAATAAATATGAAGATGTCAATTGTGATCTATGTATTTAATGTTTAAGTGTGAAATATAAAAACTGTCCAAGAGATTTTTCATATTATTATTTCTTATCGATAAAATGTAATTAAAATGAATAAATTTCTTTTCAGACGAAGAAAGGCGACACAGAGAAAATATCGATAAATTATTAAAGGAACACCAGAAGGCGCAAATGGGAGCGTTAGATAAAATGAGAAATGATAAAAACAAAGATCTATTTGAACGTCTAGAAAATGAAAGAAAGAAATATGACTTGCTGTTGGAAGAAAAGTGGAAACTTGTAAAAGAAGAATCACAAAGAGAAAATGAAAGATATAGAAAAGAGTTAGAAGAAACAAAGAAACAATTGGAAAATGAAAGAGAAAAGGCACAAAGTGAAGCTGAGATATATCGGAAAAAAGAAGAAGATATTCAAGGTCAGTAAATTTTTACATAAATGAACGTTGTTCTTGAAATTTCTGATCAGAGATTTTCTAGTGTATATCAATGATACAAAGATGCGTTCTTAGTTTAAAGGAAACTTTATTGCCATTTTCAATTCTTTATGTGAAACAAAATTTTAATGTGAGTTAGTTTCCAAGATTCTATATGTACATGAGATAGGATGGTAACAAATGTAAAAAAAAACAACAGGAAAGGAGAATAACATTATTCTATTAGACACTTTTGCATCATAAATTATTCATACATACATACAAATTTAAAGTGTTCATTTACCCAGGTTCATCATAAACTCTGTGACCTTTTTCATATTGAAGACAAATAAAGGGTTTTCATGATTTGATTTGTTTGCTTAATTTGGAGGAAACATTGTTGGTTATATTTATAAATTTCACATGATTATGTGTCTGTTGGAAACAAGACAAACTAGATGATTTCACACTGAACTGCTAGAAAAAAATATGTAGTTTTCTTCGTTTATATATTAAACAATTTGTTGTCCATGATATCAATTTCTGTGATAAGTCTGTGAATAAAACAGAGCCTTTTTATCCCTGCCGAAAAAGCGACGGAATTTCCGTCCGTCCTTCTGTCCGTCCGTTCAATATTTATGGAAGGAGCGTTACCCAAAACATATAAGAAAATAATTTGAAACTCCACAGGTAGTTAGAACTCATTGTGGATAAGTGGAGTGCACAAGAATGGTAATTCTACCCAATATTGTCCTTTGTTATTTTCATTTATAATTTTTGTTAAGAGCATGACTCGAAAAGAATTTGAGAATCAACTGTAAACTTTATAGTTGGATAGATCTTTTTAAAATGTAATGTTAATGAATATATTTCTTTTCAGATGAGCAAAGGCGGCACAAAGAAAATATCGATACATTATTAAAGGAACACCAGAAAGCGCAAATGGAAGCGTTAGATAAAATGAGAAAAGATCAAAAGAAAGATCTATTTGAACGTCTAGAAATTGAAAGAAAGAAATATGACATGCTGTTGGAAGAAAAGATGAAACTTGTAAAAGAAGAATCACAAAGAGAAATTGAAAGATATAGAAAAGAGTTAGAAGAAACCAAAAAAAAAAAAATTGGAAAAAAAAGAAAAAAAAGGCCCGGGAAAGGGGTCGAAATAAAACGCAAAAAAATAGAAGATATTTAAAGGGCAAAAAATTTTTTAAAAATAAATGACCGTTGCTTTTAGCAATTTTTTAAAAATAAGGGTATTCAACAAATGTTGTGGTCCCCTATATCAAAATTATGCGATAACTCTTGAATAAAACAGACTTTTTATTTCCCCGCCCCAAAAAACGAAAAAGGGGGTTTTCCGGAAAATTTTAAAGGAAAAAATTCATTTGACTTTAAAACAAGAAAAAGAATTGAAAGTGCCAAAAAAGGAAAAAATTAAAAAATTTTGGGAAAAAGATTAAAAAAAACCCAGGGGGGGAGGAGAAGCTAAAAGGTTATAGGGAAAAAATATGAAAAAGGGAAAAACAATGCCCCCGGTTTCATAAAAAGGGTGTTGGGGGATCCTTTAAAAGGAATTTAAAAAAAAGAAAGGTTTTAAATTGCAAATTTCATATCTAGCGATACCTACTTGAACTGTTTCGACACATAGTTTTCGTATTCGGGGGAGGCTATAAATCATATCTTGACTTGTTACCTTTTTGTTGTTTGCTTTCTGTTCTATGCATATGCTTAATGTTGTATACTTGTTCGAGTATATTTATCCGGAACTTGTTTTTGTTTGAGTGTTAAAGCAGTATCTTACAAATGTTACCCGGTCCAGAATTCCATGCTTTAGAACAATGTACTCTTACAACATCACTTTTATTCCATTCCTCATTGTAGTCGTTCATTGTAAATAAACCTAACTTAGCGGCATTCCGTCATTGTATGGTATCACTCTTATCTCTAAATATTGGAATGTTGCTTTTTGACCATAAAAAAATATAAGTACAAAGATATTTCTGGGCCGCGTCCGTGGCCCGATGTAAGGGTTAAATGACTTCCCAAACCCACTTTGGCCCTCACACCGCTGTGGGCTCGAATCCCGACAGGGACTTTGGATTCATTCATGTGAGGGAGCTATCTCGCTAGCTTACAGAACGTCGGTGGATTTACTCAGGTGCCCATACGTGCCTAAAATAATATATGGAAGAGCATCTGACGCCTTCCTCCACCAGAAAAGCTGGAACGTCACCATATGACCTATACTATGTCGGTGTGACGTAAAACCCAATCAAAGAAACAAACAAGATGTGCTGGTAGAAGCATAATAATACTTGTGTACATGTATATGAAACAAGAGCCGCCAGGTTCGACTTTTTCTTACATCTCACTTCGTCTAAGGAAGAATATTGTAATGTAGTATAGAATACCTCTACAAAAAATTATTTTATTGTACAAATTATATATAAACAAATTCTATATTTGACATTGACGGTCAATGTCATTCAAAAGTCAAGGTCAAATTTGAATTAATCCTCATGTCATATTTGGTCGTAGAGTTTTACACGTTACTCTCTCAAAATATGTGCAAATGAGTTCAGAAAATAAATTCTATATTTTATAATAGAATCTAAGTCGAACTACGATTTTCATTTTTGAACATATTTTATATTGCTTGACATAATCAGAAAAAGAGAACCACCTACATTTTTCAGTAGCACCAGAAATCGTTCATCTGATTTGAAGCAAATATCAGACGGTGCTAAGGGTCTGCGTTGAGCAGGCGTGTCCAAGAATAAATAAAATCAATAAACAAATAAATTATGACAATCTAATCAAATTTCAATGATTTGACCTTGAGATATAGGTCAATCAAAGGTCAAAGTCATATGAGAATAATTCAACATGTTGGTTTTTTAATATGTGTTCTTTTTCCAAGTATTAATTAAAGCTATTAGTAAATACATCTACCAATGTCATGACAAATAAAGCAAATTTCAATAATTTGACCTTGACAGTCAATGTCAAATAAAGGCCAAGTGTTATAATTGAATAATACAACTTGTGTGTTTTGTCAAAAGGATTCTTTTATCCAAGTAAATGTCAAAGGCGTAAATGAATAACAAAGTTATGACACTTTTAGCTAAATTCAATATTTGACCCTGACGGTCAAGGTCATTTAAAGGTCAAGTTCATATTTTGAATTATTTAACATCTTATTATAAGTTATTTTACGTGTTCTTTCGTGCAAGTATAAATCAAATCTATAGATAAAGTTATGGATAATTGTATTAAATATCAATCACTAATTTGACCTTTAGTATCAAGGTCAAATTAAGGTCAAGGTCAAGTTCAATTAAATATCTAATGAACAGCCTCTGATAAAGAAAAGTAGGTACTTCTTGAAAGGAATGGCTGGTAAACCGGTGATTTATTCATACAAAACAATAACACTGTATATAGCTTCTTCGAAATTACCAGTATTTATTTGATATAGATACAAAGTAACTCAATATTATACACTCAAAGTGAAAATAACAAGTATGAAATGATTTGCGACACGTATGCATTTATATTATACAACATATATGTAAATACTGACTTAATTAAACACACGAGCTTCAAAAACGCCCGGTTCAAATTTCAAAAAGTTCTGCCCTCAGCAACGTCCAATATGATAAAGTCATATACAAAAAAATGGATTCAGGACAATCTCATTTCATCACATACCAGGACCACTCTTGTTTCCGGTTACCATTTACACATGGTGTTAGCTGAATTGTTTTCTTGTCGTCTGCTGCCGTTAAACATCGCCCACTTGCCACGTGCTTTAATTGTCCCGCCTTAAATAGAAAATATTAGCGGGACCATATGGATGACATTGATAAAATCGAACATAATAGAATATAACTGAACATCTTTTATTTTCACCCTAGCAATGTTTAATTTAATATACGGAACATAACAAAACTTTTATATAACAGAAAACGTATGGTTCCAGTACAAGAAAATAAGTATAATTATCAATCAACAAAGTTCACTGTTAAGGGAACAAATAGAAAGCTTTCTGAGGAAATAAGAAATAAACAATATTTACAAATATCTTCTTTTAAATTATGAAATATCGAGCAGGGGTTGATTAATTCTAAGTCAATAGTCACCATTTTATTCTAACTTCATTTGGGAAAAATATGGATGTTGTCTATTGTCGTAATATTTGAGCAGGCCCTTTTTAAAATTTTTTTGGCTTTAATTTAGAATAACCATTTTTTTAAAATTAATACAAGCCCTTTCCCATGTTAAAAATAAATTTTACCCCTGCCAGTTTTTATTTTAGGTTTGGGTTAGAGGGAGCGGCCCCTGACCCCACAAGATGGCAGGGGTTCCGTTCCCCGTAAATTTTGCATGAAATTGTAAAGAAAACATTTTCCAAAAACCCCAAGGCGTTTCAAAATCAAATAACGTGTTTAAAAGGGTGACGCTGGCAAAAATTCGTAGGGGACCTATTTATTGGCCGAACCCCTTTAATTTTAAAAAAGAAAAAGGCCCTTTAAAAATTGGGTCGCCCTTCGCTTTAAAGGTAGGAAAATCTTGACATTTTACGTGAGTAAATACGATTTCCCCGGGGTCCATAAATATTTTAACGAACTAAATGCAAATATGCCCGGGTATCATATCGCTTACAACAACAAAATGTTAAGATTTCTACACATAAATAAAATACATTCTTCAAAAGCAATGCAAACTGTACTGAAAACTTTCAGTTTAATGAAAGGTCTGCTGACAATAGCATGAAGGATTTCTAAGGATTTTTCATGTGAGTAAAATATCAAGCTAGATTGTGGAATGTTGCATGGAGACATACCCGAGGTCTTCCTCCACCATTTTAACCGGGAACTCGCCATATGACTTCTTCTGGATTGGTACGACATAAAACACAACCAAAGAAATGCATGAGTAAACTGTAGGAACATAATGTATGTGAAGTATAATATACGATATATATTATATATTACCTCGGTGTAGTCCCATTTAGCCTCGGTTTCATTATGGATGTCAGTGGTACAAAATGCTCACCTGGGTAGCGTGGAGTCCTTTGGTCCGAGTGGTAACATGCAAGTGTTGCTGGGGAACTCTTAGCTTGCCCTATTCGGTTTTAATTTTCAAATGTACTGCAATTAATTTTAATGCCCCACAAAAATACTTAATGTTTTAAACATTTATTTAAGCTATTCAAATTTTTAAAACCTTTAAATAGACCTTTTACAATTGCAATATTTCATAAGAAACGGAATGTAACTTATTTCGCGCATGCGCCATTCCTGCGTTGGGTAAAAAACAAACAATAACTTTTGTAATTCGTTTCTAGGAATCTAACCAGATCTGGTTGCCTTTGGAAATTTATTCATGGTCGAACCCGAGTAGGGCCACACCCATTGATCCTTTGGTTGAGGGAAAATACACCCCTTGACCACTAGGTTACCGCGCTTTTCCCCTTATAAATTTAATGTTTGCAGAAATTTAACTTTGGTCAGGGCCAAAGTTAGAAACAGATTAATATTTTTTTCAGTGCAAGGTTTAAAGTTTTAAAACAACGGTAAATTAAGTGTGGAAAACAAAAATTTTCAAAGGATTTCAACTAAAGGAAAACAACTTTGGATCGGGGCTTTAAAGACACTGGGGGTTTTCCAACATGCCAACTTAATCGCATGGTGACGTCATTTACATGAGAATTTTTTCCTTGTAAGCATAATCGCCCAAACAAATAAATTTAACTACTTATATGAGGTCCAAACCTTAGTCTAATCTGTTTGAGACCTTGTCCTACATCTTCTTTCAATTGAAAGGGATTGGGAGAAATGATAGAAATTTGCAAAGTATGATAAGAGGTTGCCTCCCCCTTGAATTATGAAAAGGGATATTGTTCCTGAACATAATCGTTTTAAAGTTTAAATACAACTTATTTTTAACTTAACAGATATCCTTTTTTAGTTATTTTTCATTTTAAAATCTTATTTAATTTTCATCAAATGTAGGCCTTAAAAACCCAAATGAAAAATAATGTCAATGAACTTATTTACAGCCATGGCATCCGTTCATGTCTCAAATTTAAACAAGGGAAATGCCATGTATATAAATAAGGAAATGCATGGTGCCATGTATATGGGTAAATTCTTTCATATCAAATGGAAAAAAAACATTCCTATAGGGAAGCCATCCACAAAATTTTTGTATAATTATGACTTTGTAATGCAGAATTTAATTTCCGTATTGAAACATTTTAGCATATAAATATTTTCAATAACCTATTATTTAATATTTAATATATATTTAACCTGAATTTCATCACCAATGACACCAAGTATTGTAAAATTGGAAGGACCTTTTCTTAGAAGGTAGAGGACTAGGCACAAAATTTCCTGTTTTCCCAGATTCTTGATCTTGAAATTCAAAAATAAACATTTAATCAAAGATAAACATTTTTTCCAAAAAGATAAAACATTTTATTCAAAAAGATAATTAATTTGATAATCATAATTTTTAACTCAAAAGATAAACATTTAATTTAAAAAAATAAAACATTTTAAAATTCAAAAAATAAACATTTTAAAATCAAAAGATAAACATTTAATTCAAAAAAATAGACATTTTAATTAAAAAATATGAACATTTTAAATCAAAAATGTTTGATTCAAAAATAGACATTTATTTCAAAATGAAAAAACATTCAATTCAAAAGACAAACCAAATTTTTTGTCAAATGAAAAGATTTAAACATTTTAGATTCTTCAAAGAATTAATTTAGTTATGAAATGCAGGGTATAAAATAATGTATCAAAGTTTAACGGTTATTTAAGCCTATGTTCTCCTCCGAATCAAAAGCTTTTCAAACTTTAAAACAATTTTTCCCTAGATA